TCCTTTTCAGATGCCACAACATTATGAGCAAAATCACAATGTTATAATGAGCACATTTAGGAAATTATTTAGCCTTAAAGATTTCCTCGTTCCATTATATTTTATTTAAAAAAAAAGTGTTTTAATACCCACTATGAGAAAGTGCTTAATGAAAAATGCTTTTGTAGCACTGAAAGCAAGTGTCACGGTCTTTATAGCAGCTCTTACCTTATAAAACGTAAAATGTGCTTATGTAGTGCATTATGCACTTGCCCTGCTGTGTCTTGTTTTCCTGGCTACATGCACTCTGCAGATCCCCTTCTCCTGTTGCCCACTGCAGTCACTTGATGCATCTCAGCAGGCAGTTCTCCATTCAGCAGACAAGTGTGGAGGGAGGACTTGGTGTTGATTCTGCTGGTTGGTTTTTTGCAGTTTCTCTTCTACTAACGCACTGCCCTGCTGCCCCATTCATGTAGGGCTGCAACAGGCACTTTGGAGATACATGTATAAGTTAGTCCTGTAACTGAGCAACTCTAGGAGCGCACGTTCAGTGCCCTGTCCCATCCTTTCTCTTCTGCTGAAGGAGGGCCACCAATCTCTCTTCTAAGCCAGGCTTGTGAGTTCACATCCAATGCAGACCAAAATACAGAGCGTTTTGTTGTTGGTTTTGTGGAAGTTTCCCTGCTGTGATGCATGTTAGGCATTCCCTCAACTCTGTCTTGCAGAAGGAAGCAGCCTGAGATTTCTGTCTCTTGTGTACTTTAGTCACTGGACTAAAGATAAAACTGAAGCTTTCTGACGAGATTGGTTAGTCTTAAAACGAATTAATACTGCAAATTAAAAGCTGGGAATGTGTTCCTGTTAAGAAGTAACTATTGAAATAATTGCATTTAAGAGTTAAAACCAGAAGTAAAAGGAAACCCTTTATCTAGACTTTATCTCACTGTACCCCTTCTGAGTTGTTGCTCTGAGGATTGCAGAATTAAATTCATGTGCCCCTAGCCAAAGAAGAATGAAAGAGCACAGTGGAAGATACCATCCCTTAAAGACACAAGCGTTCCAGAAGTAGGCAAGTTCCTGTATAATTGGGATGAACTTGGCCATGGCCTTATGTCATTTGTTTCCCTGTGTGACTGTGGCTTTCTGGCTTCTGAGATCTGCACACCAAGGAGCGGTTGTGACTTTATTTTCCAAAACTTACATAATAAATCAATGCTTTCTCACTTCTTTTTTTTTTCTTTTTAATTGTAAAATAGTAAAGACCAGTAAAGTCTCTTGGGGAAAGGGAGATGTGATCAGCAGGTGAAGAGCAAGCTCTCTGCCTCTAAGGGCAGGGATTTGCCTTTCTCATCAAGCAGTTCTTGCAGTGCACCTGTGCAAGGATGGGAAGTCTTGCCCTGGAGCTTAAGATCCTCTCCTTGGTGTTGTGGCAGGTGAGGTGCGTGTCTCGTGGCACAAGGTGTGAGGCAGTATGCGGCCTGCTGCATAGGCATTCTTCTAACTGTGGAAAATGTGAGTTCTGAAATGCCAGGTGGACAGGGATCTGTGGGGAATGCTGCATGGAGATGAGGAACTGCAGAGGGCAGTGATGGGGCAGGTGTCTGCTTTTCATTAGGTTATTCCCTGAGACACATCTGGTGCCAGCAGAGCTGCTATTCCTAAACGATAAGGGAGCTTTGCAGGCAGGGGAGGGCTGTGCTGTCAGGTGAGCCAGGGATCGAGAATTACCGTGACAGTTTCATGGCACATGAAAGATGCTATGAAGTGCATCGTGGCTGCAAAGAGCAGGGGCTCAATTAGGTTTTCCCAGCCATGGGCTGACACGGAGTGTGAGCAGGGCCTGTGTCGTGCCATGCGGTGTGTACCAGGAAGTGTTCTGGTCCATCAAACGTAAAATGACAAAATCATTTGTAATCTCTCATTCCTGACTCCCATGGTTTTACGTCTGTGCCTCCCCTGTAGCATTCCTACAGCTGATTGCTTTCTTTTCTTTGAGCTGCTTCAAAATGAACTACGCAACTCTAGTTTCTAGTAGCTAACTGAACCCTCTTACCTAAAATACGGAATAGGAAAGAAAAATGCGCATGTATAAATGCTTAATTAGCCTTTGCCTATCTATTTGCAGTGGATTGCAGCTTATCGCAGGCGGGTGCAGCCAAAGGACCTTAGAGTCATGCCCTCCTAGAGCTGAGGTGCTCTGTGCCAGCGAGCACTCAGCTCAAAAGATGCTGCAGGAGCTGCGCAACTACGTGTGCATTTTCTTTCCCCTAGATTATTTAGAAGTTGCATTTGACAATATTTAACCTTGCGTCATCAAAGAGAGGCAGCAACTGGAGTGGAATATCCAATATCTGCTGAGAGGAACCTGCCTGCCTGCAGTGCAGGCCTTGTCTCCACATGTCCAAAGCTCGCTGGGGGAGCAGCCGCTCCTGCACACTCCAGGGATTCACAGCACATCAACTCCGTTTTGCCTGCACGGCAACACAGCACAGTGCAAACGCGGGGTGACCTTCCTTGTGATCTCATCTCAGGCTGAACCTGTGCCACAAAGCTGTTCTGCTCTTCCCTGCTGGCTCTCCTGCAAGGCCTGGAACTGCACAGTGCCACTGGGGCCTGGCAGCTCTCTGGGTACGAGCCAGGGCATGGTGCTCACGCTGTTCGTTCCGAGCATCTGCTTCAGGCAGCAAAACCTAAATCTGTGACCCAGGTGTTCTTCCACTCACGCCCTCCCCACTTTTTATTTTTATTTATTTTTATTTTTATTTCCTGTGAAAATATTTAGCATATTAAAGTATTTTACTGTCTTTTTTTTATGCACATGCTGCACAATGGTGAAGGCTTCTTGAAAGTTTTCTTACAAGTGGATTCCCACGTGGTAGCTGTTAGTCACAGCTAATTACAGAGACTGGTGAAGGAAGAATATAGAGGAGCTCAGGTTCCCCTCCTCCTCCCTCAGTGCTTAAGAGAAACATAAAATAAAAAACCTGTAGATAAATGGAGGCTTTTCTGTGGTTGCAGTCTCCAAAGAGCTCCAAAGAGATCACAGATGTGGTTTCATGTTTCAGGTTTAACTATGGTTTAATAACTAAAGTACTATCTGCAGAAGAAATGCAAGTGGGGAAAGAATCATTAATTGATAGTGAAAAGTTCAATCTATGAGCTGTGTTTGTTTTTTTAAGCAGCTGAATGTTTAGCCAAACTGTATTTTAACTTTTAACTGCAGTCCTGAGGGCTACGATAATCTTGATGCGTTAAATCCTGGGAACATGATAGGAAAGGAAACATTCGTACCTAATTTGGACTTGTTTCAGAAGGGTGAATCATAGAAAAGCAGGAACACCTGTAATTTAGCTGAAGTGAAGGCACATGCTTCAATTTTATTTCAGTTGTGTGTCAAGCTAGTGTGCAGCGTGCTTGCCTTACTACACAGCGTAAGACCTTGCCTCAGCATTTCACTGGGCGCAGAACGAGCCAACAGTGAGAGCTGGAGCTGCTTTACTACACATGAGGAACCCATAGCTTACCTAAAACACTTAATGACATTGGTTTTCCTGTCTTTGTTGCCATTCATCCAAGCCCAGGAAGTCTACTAGGTTGAGCAAGTTCCTGTGTACGAGTAGCAGTGGCTCAGCAGGACCGCATGGTGTCTATGGCTGGGGCACCAGTGTCCTTCTTGCACCTGGACTGCTATTGCCTGCTGTTTGCCTGTGCTGCTGACTTTCAGGAACTCAGAATATACTTATAAGTGTGCAAACTCCCCATTGGTCAAATGACTGTCTGTCACAAACAAATACCTTTAATTGCAAAAAAAGTAAAAATGAAGTAGAGACTGTCTCAACAGGAAATTTCCACTCGGATGCATGTTTGGTATTGAACGTTTGCATAATTCAGAGGGTGCAGGAGGCAGATTACATAATGAAGTGATGTAAAACTCATGATGGTCTCTTTCCTATTTAACGTGTATGCTTTCCTGCAAGGTTTATTTTTAAACTGAAAATTTTCTTCTCAGAACTACAGAACAAAGAAGGCTACAAGAGCAGCTTGAACTCTCTGGGGCTGGAACAGGGCTATGCTAGGTAGAAAATGAAGCAACCTAGTCTGTTACCTAGATTCTAGGAAGTAAAGCTTCCTAAATGAGAACTATCAAAAGTATTGCAATTCTAACAGCTACACAGAATCTTGCTAATAACAGCTGTGGACATCATTAGGAACAACTGTGCTATGGATGCACCTGATCAGAAGGGGCTTTGTTGTATTATACTTGCATCAAAACCACTTGCTTCACTGGTACATGTTGAAAAAACACTCCTTAAAAGTAAGCTTTTTATTGTTACATGTCTGGCTTGGTGGATAAACAAATGTCCCAGAGCAACGCTGTGCTGTGATGGGGAAAACTTAGGATCTCTGTTTTTCTCAGGAAATCCTAAATGAATTGTAAGTGATAAGATCTCCCTTAAAAAGTTACTGTGAGGCCAAACATTGATCAGGATCTCTAGGAGGCTCAGGAGTTAAGCCAAGTTGTGTGAAAGTGTTACGATACTGAAAGTACTGGGCAAAAGAAGTTTGACTTTAGTGAAGTATCAGAGTGCTCATAACCACAATGTTACATGGCCTTCCTAATGAACTCTTTTCTACTAGATGTTTTTTGCTTTAATTCTCCTTACCTCCAAAAACTTGGTTTTTGTTTGTTTTTATAGGTAAGATAAGGTGAGAGTTCTTACATTTAAACATCACTAAACTTAAAGTCTAGTTATACCTTTGTTACTTCAATGTTTTTCTCTCTGGTAGATAAAGGCCATGTACTCTTGAGATGCAAAAAGAGCATAAGATATTAATTTTAATTCAAACATACAGATTTGTGTGTGGATGTATTTGAACTGGTTTGCTTGAGAGGCTTTCCTGTTGAAAAGGCTGTTTGCAAGTAGTCTCTGCAGTGCAGAACTTGTTATAATCCAGAAAAAAAAAATGGAGAAGAGATTTTTATTTTGCACTGATGCAGTTCATCTTATTTTTCCCCAAAGGACACCGTGGTTTAATGGATGGGGCTTTAACCTACCCAGAGGTCAGTCTTTGCTAGACAAGTGGAACCTTATCCCTGAGGGCATTGATATACTAATGACACATGGACCTCCCCTTGGTAAGTGAAACAAAAGCTGTGTGAGATTTTTTTTCCCCTCTGAGAATTTTACCTTCAAAATAACCAAAATTATTAATGCTATAAGATTTATTGTAACTGCGTGCTAACTCCGGGCTGTGAATTAAAGCCTTTTGGTAAGAAGAGCACAGAGATTATTAGGGTTAGCAGAACTGTTGAGCTTCCAGGTGTTTTTTTTCAATTACATTTTTTGTTTCGCTCAAACAAGGGAATATCGAATATCTGATTCCATGGCCGTGAGAGTTTGACATTTCACTTAAGAACATTATTCATCTTGCACTTTCCAATCCCATATGATTTTTCAGAGATTGACTAAAACTTCTAAAACATTTTCCCAACTACTATGACATGTTTCTTTAAGGTTTGAGAGTATGCAGTCAAAAGTTCAAGAGTATACAGTCACGTTCTCCTTGACTGTTTCCTCTTAAACTTAATAATGTCTTTAAAACTACTCTTGCATATTCTAGCTGACTTATAGTAAACTCATGAAGCAAGAAATTTAGGCCCTCAAATCAATCTGTGTATGCATACTTCTTTTTTTCTTTTTTTTTTTTCATGAATTACTTGAAGTCTTCATTTAGTTCAATTGTGCTCTCTGATCTCCGTGCTCATTCTGTGATAAACAGAATTCTCAAGAAGATGCTGAGATGCTTGCTCAGCAGAGGCAAGAGTGCTTGGTTTGGGACGTATCTAAAGTAATTAACGCCTACATTGAATGATTTGAATTTTTTTTTTCCCCTATCCTGTAACCTCGCAAGATACTATTACATGTTATTTACTGCTTTCCTTTGAAATGCATGTGGTGAGGACTCTGGAGCCATATCTTTCATATTTCAGTCAGTTTTAAAACAACTGAGCGCCTGCCTTTTCTAAATGTGGCTTCTGAGCATGAGGAAGCATCAGCCTCTTATTCATTACTGCTAATATACTGTAATTTTGTCATAGTTCTAGTAAGTCCAAGGGGTCAGGTGTTCAGATGTAGTCACTCAATTCTGTGGTGGTAATGACTTTAAAGAAAACAAAAAAGCCCCACCAGTAACCAGGATTGCGTGGTGCCATTATAAAGCAGCATTTAAATGCTACCTAGCTGGCTCTGTGTTCTTGCAGAGTTTCATGGTGACTCTGGAATCAGGAATTAATGCATGGCTTATGCATTGTGTCACCACGAAGTTAATAGTCAGCAATCAATGCAGAGCTAAGGAAAAGAAGGGGAAAAAAAGACCTTTTTGACTAATAATGTACTCATGCTCTTCTGATATCTTGGTAACTAACAGCTCTTTTCATACTGTTAAGCTAACTAGGGCTACCTGTGTCCCACTGACAGTGGAACACACTGGGTATTGAAAGCCAACACCTTGAACAGCCCTCTTTTAATCTGTTTATTTTCCCAAAGAAGCAAAAAAAAAACCCAAAAAACAACCCACAACCACTTCTATAGTTTTTCATAGGTACTGTTTTAAAAGGATTGCTAATCCTTCTGCTCAGAATTGCTTTTGTATAGAAATACTTTGATGCTATGGGTGCTAATGTTTTAATTGAATACTCATTGCCTGTTGTTGGTGACTGGGGATTCAGAACAAGGCTAGCACTTGCACTTGGAAGTTGTTGGGAGACTGTATTTTAAATCTCTCAGGTGGCAGCAGCTATCAGGTTGTACAACAGCCAGTCTTCCTCAGGTATTTTGCTCTGGAGTAGCCACCTTGCTGACTTGGGAAGGTGGCTGCTGTGAGAGCCAGGGGAAAGGGAAGAAAAATCAGCAGCAATGCCGGGAATAAACGTTCCAAGGTTTCAAGGTGGAAGATGAGTTTAAGCCCATAGTTTAAAAAAACAAATCACATCCAGAAAAATATCAATGCAGATGGAGGAGGGTGATCTTGAGGAAGACAAAGTGACAGTGAAACGCTTCTTAAAAGCCATTGCGTGCTTTAATGGGAGAGGTTATGACTGCAGATAATGTAATAAACCTTCAGTGAATTATGACTTCCTGAAAGACTGTGTGAAACCTTACCTGAATAGAGAAAATTAATAGTATTGATTGCATTTTTTGCCTGCAGGTTTTCGAGACTGGGTTCCAAAAGAGCTGCAGAGAGTTGGTTGTGTGGAACTGCTAAACACAGTGCAAAGGCGAGTAAGGCCCAAACTCCATGTCTTTGGTGGGATCCATGAAGGTAAGCAGCACTGCTTCTCTGCTCTTTGATCTGAGCCTGGTTCCAAAGAAGCACACGTCAGTTGTGCATTGCAAAGGGTGGGTAATGACATATTGGACTAAAGTAGAGAGGGAACTGAAGGAAGTGATTGCACACACGGCACTTTGTGAATTTATGCCAGAATTAAAACAGGCTGTTTCAGGAACGTGTGCTGCATTTTGCCACCTACATCTCTCACTGTGCAAAGGTTGTTCTATACAGGTTATTTGAAAGCAATTTAAATTTTGACAAACTTAGTTGGAGAAACAGATGAGATTCCCCACACATGCAAGCCAAAATGAAACTTAGTCCAATTATTCCAAGTGCAAGAGCCAAGAAAGGTGCTAGAAAAAAAGAAAACTGAAGACAACTTACTGTCTCAGCTCACCTCCCTCAGCGTGTAAAGAAAAGCAGAAAGGAGGGCAAATATCATTGCCAGAACTCACTTTGCATGCATTTCTAAAAGTATCCTGGGATACGGTTCATAATGTGTGTTACCTTACAGCAGTCTCACATATAAAAAGAGATATGCTCATAATCAGTTCCAGATCAGAAACAAAAAGCTGTTTGTTGGCAGTGGGAGGGAATGAGATAATTTTGGAGACATTTAAATATTTAAACCAATTTTGTAGCTTTTACATGCCTGTGAGACAAATATTAGGAAGTTTGCCTGAGAGAGTGTAAGTCTGTGTGACCCTAGGACTCAAAGTGATGCAGTAAATGCTTTATATCCCCTCCCATCTGCAGATTTCTGCACTGTTTCTAATTAGGTTCTCCATCAGCTCACAGATTTGGAGAACTTCACAAAAGAGAAATGGGAAGAAAAAAAAAAAAAAAAAGGACAGCTTTGTCAACTAGTACCATTGGTTTTACTTAAGCCCTTTTGACATTATGAAATTGATTTTATTCCTGGTTTATAAAGTTCTGTCAATAGTTTTTAAGGGAAATACTGATGTGACTTCAAGTAGCATGTTCGCTGTGTTAGAATGCTCCCAGGAAACCACTGGATATTTTGTAAAAATACCAATCCTTGCATACTGAGAGTAAGTGAACACAGCAAGAGTTCCAGCTGAAACACAGAAATGGTCTGCAGCTTTTGTAAGCACACTGGATACTGAAATTTTCAATTGCAATAGGAGAGAAAGGTATTTTAATGCACAGGATCATTATGACAAAGCACTGAGGGACCATAATGCAGCATCTTACATTTAAATCTCACATGAAAGGTGGTAGCACGTGTTGAAAGTGAACATTCAAATACATTCTTACAAGAATACTAAAAAAGTTTAGAACCTGTTTTAGTATTTATGCAGAAGACATAAGAGTGGCCTGTTTTGGTACAGAAAGAAATAGCCAATTGTTAAGAGCATTATCCTGCAATGCAATTAATTCTCATTCATCTCTAGCTTAGATGAACACAGACTGCATTCCATTAAATCGAGGGAGGCTACACACATTCTGATCATGCCTGTTTTTTTTCTGGTTGATAAGTAAAAACAGCCACAAACAATGTTTTTCCCACCACGAGATGATCTAAATCAAAATTGCTAGTCCAAATAAATAAAGTGCAGCAATTCTGAAGTGATTATTCTTTGTGATAGAAACTGTGGGTAGCTGGATTTATCTTAGCTTTCAGACAGCAGCGATCTGTACTGTATCATAATGGTTTAAAAGAAAAACATTTTTCCCCTGTGGGTTAGCGGTGGGAAGTTCTCTTCCTCTATGAACCTCTAATAAAAAAAAGTGCATTTTGTGCCAAATTCTTCCCAGACCTGTTCTAGTTTCTTTGCAAGCTCTCAGTGGATGTCAGCTGAAAACAATGGATCTTATGCACCGATGGGACTGGAGCTCTATCTCCCTGTCCTTGAGAGAATGTCTGCAAGAAGAGAACTTCTGTGCTTTTGCACAGTGAGAAATTCATGTTCTCACGTCATAGTATCACACACTGGCTTAATGAAGATTCAGGTGTGACTGTTCACAAGGCACACAGAGTTTGTTCCGCTTGCCCAAAATTCTACACGTGTGCAGGCCGCTCTTCTATCCCATCCTGTTCCTGTGTGGCAGGTGGAAGAGATGATGCAGGCTAGGAGAGAGGAGGCATTACTGCTGGTTCCTCAGATTTGTCCGAAACAAGAGCACTGCTGGCCAGATGTTTAGGAGGCTGAGAAGCATCCAGCCTCCTCAAACTGATGCTGTGGTGTTACTGTGGAGTCAAATCCTTGACATGTTGAAAAATCCTGTGATCAAAATTCACTAATTCTTGCTTTATTTGGGAACAAGTTGTCAACATCCCTTCACGAAAAGCAGTCATCTATGTAACTCTCACCTCAGTTTTCTGCTTAAGCCAGTAGTTGTTCATTGACCTCCTGCGCTCTACTGTGCTTACAGCAAGAGATTCCTTTGCTTAGTCATGATTTTCTCTGGTCTTTTTGTGAAGAATTTAATCTCTCTGTGTTCTTGTTAAGTCTATTCTTACATTTGAATTCTCTTGCCTGTTAGGCTGATGTAACTGCAGCCTCCTTTCGAATCAGCCAGTCTCAGCTCTGTGTGAAAGCCTCTTAGAAGCAAACCATACCTGAATTTTACACCGCTGGTTAGATCCAGTTATTCATTCAAAGTAGTACTTTGCAGCAGCATTTATGAGTGGGACTGTATCAAAGAACCACCGAGTAACTTGAGTTGGAAGAGGGCTACAAGGATCACGGAGTCCAACTTCTGGCTCCGCACAGAACCACCCCAAATCCAAGCCCGACATCCGAGTGCTCCCTGAACTCTGGCAGCGTGGGGCCGTGCCTTGTGCAGAGTGTTCCGGTGTCTGACCACCCTCTGGTGCAGACCCTTTCCCTAACCCTCCTAACAGCTCCATGCCATTCCCTGGGGCCCTGTCGCTGTCAGAGAGCAGAGCTGGGCGCTGCCCCCCCCTCCCCCCGTGAGGAGCTGCAGCCACCATGGGGCGACCCTCAGCCTGCTCTGCTCTGCGCTGAGCAAACCCAGGGCCCTCAGCTGCTCATGCTAATAGATTTCTGAGGTTTCGTGAGCCAGTGTGAACACAAGCTTGGCAGTCGTGCAGTGAGGACCTGTATGATAAAGGCTATCATGGGAAAAGCTTACGAGGTTTCATTTATTGCCCAGAGAGGGCAATGATTTTTGTAGATTAAATGGAAGTGACTTCTAAATCTCTTGTTCCTTACTGTTTCTTTTATTATCTGACAGGCTTTACAAGCTTGCAAAGTACAACACGCTAATTAAGTAATTAGAAATAGTGCATGTGTGGTTTTGTCTCTGGTTTTCTGTAACAAATTGCAGCAGAGGATTTTCTGTGAGAAAATGTGTGCATAAACCAAAAGCTTCAGTTCTTATTTCAAATACGGTATATTGTGCTTTTTCAATCAAGTCTTTCTGGCAGCTTTCAAGAGCTCATGTCGTTTTGAAGGGATTAATATAATTTTATTCCAAAGCATTGATCCCACAACAGGCTTTCGCTGCAGCTGCCCATGGGCAGCATCGTTTGTTTATATTACAGTAAGTGTGACACATTGTCCCTACAGGTTATGGCATTATGACAGACGGTTACACAACGTACATCAATGCTTCAACGTGTACAGTCAGCTTTCAACCAACCAACCCTCCAATTATATTTGACCTTCCAACCCCTCAAGGATCATGAAGCACTGCTGCACGTTTGGAACTGAGGAAGGTCTATAAACTGCCATTTTCTAATTACAATACTTGCATTCTGTTACATGTTTATTTCAAAGGTTTTTGTGGGGGGGCATTTTGGGAGGGAGAGTGGAGGGGTTTTTGTTTTGGGGCGGGGGTTTTTTTTAGTGAATTGCTGGTGCAACGAAACAAGACGAAAAGTTAGAGGTTGTGCTTTTTGGAAATGCAGCGTTCATTTGAAATTGGAAGAGCATTGTGAATTTGTAAAATTAATTTTGTCTTTCAATAAACTGCCATTGTAAATTGTTATAGTGTTCTCAAAAGGACAGCCAAGCTTTCTTTTAAGAAGTGAGAGACCTTATTTTAATATTATATGATAAGCTAAAAAAAAATAGGCAGCATTTAAAAACACCCAAATTTGCACAACTTTTGTTAATGTCGTGGGTTTTTTTTAATGTCTTTTCCCTATGGTCTAAATGTTAGCTTTTCATCTCTCCATTTATATTCTTTTTTCTTCCTGCCTTTCTTTTTTACTTTTTTTTTTATAGCACAGACAAGACTTTGGGGTCCATTTGCCTCTTGATATGTGTGCGTGTGCTGAAACTTGTTTCTGTTCACAGTAAAATGCAGCGAGGGGAGAATAGACTTCTCAGTTGTTTGTTTGTCCACTACCTGCTTTGTATGGTAAAGAATGGTATAGATAGCCACGGTCTGTATGTGATATCTGCCTTTTATTGTTTGTTTTTAAATTATTTTAGCTTTAAAAAACTGGGAATGAAAGCTGCAAAGAGCAGGCGTTTCATGCAGTAAAAAAAATAATGTAAATGCGGACTCCTTTTAAATATGAATTTATATATATATGTATTTTTTGTGCATTATAACTAAGCTAGGATTTAATATTGCCAGTATAGCATCCGCAAAATTATGCTGTACAGCACATCTAAATTATGAAGGATGTGACACATTTTCCAAGTGCTCAAGGCCTTCCAGAGCCTGAGTTCAATCTTTGTTGTAGTTCAGGCATGTATAGAGTCATATGGATACAATCGAGCCTAACTAAAATAAGGCTTAGTTGTCCTTTATATTTAAATATTCTTCTTGTCTTTTTTATTTCCTTCTTCTTATTTTGCACTGTGTGTAAATGCAATCTTGCTAGCACAAAATACTGTTGCAGATAGTTATTTCTGTTCTACCACTGTAAATGCTATTGAGCTTTGTTCTGTTTTATGTTAACTTGTTAATGGAATTTAGAAAGCAGTTGTTTCTTTAAATTTATTGTGATATATCTAGCGGCCTTTATATGCAAATAAAATTGCAAGATTTTTAAATATGTGGTTTAAGGGAATTTTACATTTTTGTGTGGCATGAACAGCTGGGGGTGCAGCAGTAAGTAAGAACTTTTCTAATCCTCAATGAATTTTTATGGCTTACCATTCTTAGGATGTCAGCTGGGTCGATAAGGCACTCGGAATTTTTCTCTCACTTCTCTGCCATCCATCCTTTTCATTCCTGTTAGACAGAAGAGGTTTTGTCTTCAGGTTACATAATTCAGTGCAACCAGGATTGCACAGTTAAGTCTTGCAGGGTATTGTTTTAGGTGACACAAGGAAAAATGGATTAGGTACTAACCTGTGTACTTGTTCATTAGCACTGAGCTGCAGGGGCTTTAGGCTTATCCAGCGTGGGTTAAGAAATGAATGGTCATAGATAAACATAGATAAATAAAATGGATCTTTATTTGAATCTGTTCTCAGTTGTGTGGCTGCAGCAGAATCCATAGATGGCAGGAGAACTTCTTGAGATTATGGTTCAATGTATGCCTATAGAATGACAAACACAACGGAACCTGCTGGTATTGTGGCAATACAGTTAAGTATTTAATAGCAGAGTCTTCTTTTCAAAAAGCACTTATTGCTGTGAAAATGTAGTTTCAAAAAAATAAAATGAGGTGTTTCCGTGATTCTGCACCTGCAGTAGTGTGAATACAGGAAATGAGGAGATAAACAGCCTTCCCATTTGTCTTAATAAGTTGACAACTATTAAGCCTCCTGGTGCTGTTGAAATCTTATTGTAACCAAAGATCAGTTCTTCATTTTGGGTGTCAGTTCAGAATCTTTTCTTTTTTCAGTCAGCAATGGGTGGTAGACTAGAGAATTGGTTTTCTCAGCCACACCTGTTTGCTGACAAAGAACTGTATATTTAAGAACAACTGTATTTAACATGGCTGTCCTTCCTCAGATAAAGCTTCTTGGAGGACAAAAAAAGCCAAGCACAACCTTACATATAATGCACCCTGCGTTATTCTCACTCACTGGTATTTTGTTTGTTCTTATCACATAAGGAGGAAGGATCCATTTCCTGGGATACTTCATTGTGCCATGAGCTTCTAGAACATTCCAGCCATTGCACCTGGATTGCTCTCCAGCCTCCCGACGGACCTGGCAACTCTTCACTGCATGCATGTAGCTAGGACAGGTGCAGTCTGTGATACAGGTCTGCATTCACTGCTGCAGGTATTTGTAGCGAAAACTGAGTTATTACCCCTAAAGCTAAAATTTTGAGTCAGCGGGTTTGCTCAAGGATTTGAGCAGCCTGAAGCCTTCTGGCAACACTCGGATAAATGAAGGCTGGCAGAAGCGCAGCCAGGAGTATGTCTTGAGGAAGGCTGGTAGTGAGGAAATTCCAGGCAATTCCTTGCAGACATAAAAGTCTGTACCAGGCTCTGCAATAGGCAAGCTGCGTATGTTGCAAAGGTTTGTATCTTTTGGTTTGCCTTGCAGCTTTTTGACCATGGTGCGTAGCAGATAGAATCAAGTTGTCCTGCACTGGAATAGGAGGGCCTTTATTTGTAACAGCCTGAGACTTTTCCCACTTAGACGAGCATCAAGGACAGTCACTGCTTCATCATCAAGAGATGTTGATGGTGAATGCACATGTTCATTTAGAGAAATGTGTATTCTTCAGAGGTACTTTCAAAGCGTTTTTTCCTCTTGTATGTTCTTTCTCTGGCTCTATCAGCTTTACCATCCTTGCAGCTGTTTTTCATCACTTGTTCTTCTCCATGCCAGGATCTCCTCAATTTTATTTTCTCCTTTTGCTTCATGATTTTAGAAGGTGATCTAGCTTTTCTCAGAAAGGCAACATTCTGGTTCTGAGCAGTTACAAAAAGGCCAGAAAAACATTTGCAGAGATATTTCGGTGTTTTTTTTCTTCCTGTACTCTTTAGAGTCTTTGAAATGTATATGTGTCTATCTACTGTCAGAGGCAGGTAATTTTCCTTTGCTGGATGTCAGCCTTATCTGACAATCAGTGTAAATAGGGCACAGTATGATTTGAAGAAGTACTGTTTCACAGGGAGGCAAAACTGCAGTGAATCTGCTTCTTTTCAAGGATTCCTCACTAATAAAAGTAGCTCAGTATCCATACGCAGTATAAAACTTGGATAATAAGTCTTCCTCTGAGATCTGATCCAAGTCCATTGAACTTGCTGGGAGTCATTCTATAGACTTCAGCTGGCTTTGGATCATACACCTGGCATCTATCTGCATTGTTTCTGTCTATTACTCATCCTTCATACAGGAGGAAATGGTGTGTCCCTGGTTAACATGCAAGAACCTCTTGGCAGGAGGAGGGACCTACCTATTGTAAGTGCTGAATCTTTCCAAGTGATTGATTAATGGCAGTGTAGTCAATTAACCTTTCTTCTTTTGAGAGCAGCTTCCATCTAGTCATCTCGCTAAGGCTGAAAGCAGTCAAGGCCTTTATCAGGGGAGGGCTGTGGAACTGTATGCTCCCCTGAGGTGATTGGTTCCCAATTCACTCTGCATAGTGAATTTAGTGAATTCAGCAGACCTTGAGGTCAAGCATTTATTAGGCTAAGAGACTGTCAAATCAATCTGGTCTACTCCAGGCAAGTTCTACCAGGAGAATGGGTTCTGCCAAGACTGTGTCTAAGAAATAGATTGATGGCTAACTCCTGGTTGAAGCTGCCTTTCTCTTTTCCATTTTCCGTGAATCAGAATTTTTTTCCCCTCGCTGACACCAATATTTTCTCTCTAGACAAATTTTATTAAGGAAACTCCTGGAAATGATCCATAATTTAAGGTGGAGGGAGACATCCAAACTCTGCAGTCCTTCTGTTTGGTGTTAAATTGACACAAGGGCTGAGACCTTGCTTTTGACCACACCTGATTGAAGTACATTCTGGAATATTCTTCCCTCACCAACAACCTCCCTCCTTTTTTCTTTCTTTTTTATTTTTTTTTTTTTTATTATTATTATTTTTTTTTTTCCAGCATGCTGTCTAGTAGTTTAAGTCAGGTAGGGATTCTTATTCTCCCTGCCTGCCATGACTAACTTATTATTAGAAGTGCATCAATTTCGGTGTGTGCAGGAAAGCCTGCAACAAAGAGCAGTGCGTTTTGTCTTGCCCCTGGCTTGAGATATAGATCCTATCTTCCTTACAGATTCCTCATTTGTAGTAACCAGCCTTTTATGCACTGTCTTTGTTGCTAATTGACATTTACCCACTAAGCAGATTAAATCTTCTTATGACCAGGTGTAGACACCTGCTTCAGCTATTTCAGCCCTCACAGGACACCCTATGCACTTTTGCAGAAAGTCCTAGCCATCAAAGCACTGTCTGCTCTCCCAAGGCGCAGAGAAAAGGACTCTAATAAATCACTGTACCTACGTGCAACATGGAAGACTAAAGTTGGGTTTTAACATTTTCAGCTTCAGTTCCTGTCAGCCTAATTAAGAGAAAATGCAAGAGAAATCTGAGGGAGTTTTAGTGCACTGAATCGGATTTCAGTCATCCATATTGATTTATTTTTCTCCATCTCTCTATCACTTTCCATGCCTTCATCTCTGGCTTGAGCCAGCCAACTTTGTAATGATTCATTCATGACCTGGCTCTAAGGCTACATCTTGTTTTGTTCTACTCTCAGTTTTGCTGAGGACGTTTTCCGCAGGCTCAGTTTGCTTTCTGTTGGTTATGGAATAGAACTGGAGAGGTCCTTCATTTCTTCTAGGGAACGTTTTTCTGCAGTTCTTATTGCTCAGTTATAGCCACTTGCTTTGTACCTGAAGTTTGCATTCGCAGGAGGGGGTCTGACAAGAGGAGAGGTTTGCCTCAGTATAGGATAACTGAGTGAATGTCTTCCTCAAGATGAGGTTAGTGTTTACCTAGGCTCTGTGGTAGAATAGGATTTGTCCGCTGAGGAGTTTGGACTGAAAGGCTTGTAGGCGTTTAGGACTTTTAATCTACAAAATATTCAAAAGCAGGCTTGAAAATGTGGAGTTAAATGTCTGAAATAAAAGACTTGGTCTTCCTCAAATCTCAATAAAATCTATTCTTCTATTAATGTTAGTTACTATTGCTGTGACTCAAACGTGTAAGTATTGAGAGGAGCATTCTGGGATGATTTCTGTTAGAAAAGAGCCAACACAAAATATTTAATTTTTTTTGCATACTGTCCTGTACAGTCCTCTTCAGTGTTCACTGCCATGCAAGTATTTCAGCAAAATATTTCTACTGGCTGCAGGGGGTCGGTCACTCTGCAATTGGAGGAAGAGTATAATTTTTCTCTTTGGTTGTTGTTGTTGCTGATTGTGGATACCTTGTGTCAGCATGGATCTGATTTGTTTGGGAGCTCATAATACACACAGCAGGAGGTCACCCATGCTGTAAGGCTGAATCTCAAAGGACAGGTTGCTGCAAAGGTAGGAGAAAAGGAATATATTGACTTCACAAGTGGAAAACTGACTTGCCTAAGATCACACAGCAGATCTCACGTTCTTAACCAAGTCTGCATCTCTCAAACTGTTTCGATGACAGTTCCATTTTTTACTTTGGAAATAGGTGGAGAACCCAATTCCTTTGTTTCCCCAACAACAAAGCTGCTGCTGTGATAATCATCCCTGGATCCTGGAACACAGAATGACAGGGGAGCCTTCTTTCAGCTAGATGGAAAACAAAAGTCAAAGCCAATTCCTGCATTTTTAATCAAGCCAGGATACAATGAGGATAAACGGGTAAAACCAGGCTCCTGGTAATAGAGCAAGCAATCTTTGTTAGATGCACAGCAAAAACCCTTATCAATCATCTTAAAGTGCATCTTGTGTTTTTTCTTCAGCAGGTAAATAAGTGATGAATTAGCTTACTTCAAACTCTCTGAAGATCAGCACTAGCACAGATTCTTTGAAAGATCTGAAGCAGGTACAAAATCTTTACGTTACTTTAAGACAGAGACTACAGCTCTGTCAGTAAGACCACCTTGTTATTGGCTTTATGTTATGAGGTATCTAGAGGGTTTTGAAGACTGCATATTTGAACATCATATTGACACTGAGGCTTCTGGCTGAAGTCCAGCTCAGACTGGGGGAGAGTAGCAGCTCCTAAGAGGAGCTAAATTGTATTGATTAAGGCTTCCTAATCAGCAGAACTTCTAGTACAAAGTGCTGCTGAATTTACTGGAGACTTAAAACTACAAAATACATGGACTTATTATCCATGATCAATTGTACTAGACATAAAACTTTGAAATTCAATAGCTACAGCTGCTTAAAATGAAACTCAGTGTATTTTTGTCTTTGATTGCGGTTTCTGTTACTGAGGCCAGATTTTCAGGTATCTTTAGGTTACCAGCAGCATTTGTAATACCTTAATAGATACTGCATCTTTGGTGGCATTTAAATCCATCACCTCACAGTATCTGGAAGTATGGAAAAAATCTGTTTTTGTGTCACTTCCTGTGCAAAAAAAAGCGGATTGATTGCTCCAAGATTACTTTTGTCAAATTTTACTAAGTTACCAGTTAGATTTAAACACAGTGGGTAGCTGCAGATTAAAATTTACCATTCTTACTATAATGTCCTGCAGCAAATAGCAGATTATGCAAGGACTCTCCCAGGAAAACCTCAGCTTCATCTCTGTGATAGCGGTGCTCAACCAAGGCTGCAACCTGCTTGATTTGGTGTTACGTGTCCAACGTGAGAGTCCTTTTAGAGTGAAGCACACAGCAAGCAAGAATCAGGGAGAGCAGGAACCAGGTAACAGGGTGCTGTTCTTACTGTTGGAAGGAGCTGTGGGACAGAAATTAAGCAAAAGCAGTTACATAAGTAACCTGTGGCCAAACTAAGCATAGGATCCTTATTTTCTGAACATGCAGTTTGCAGCTGTTTCATTTCTCCAGCTTTCTGTTTTTAAAGGTCTTAGAGTGAGAATTAACTGGTTCCCTGATCCTAACTTGTAGGAACTAATTAAAAATAATTATTTACATGCGTTACTTGCTTATACTTTTCAGAATTAGTAGTGTTCCCATGCTTCAGGCAAGATGCATGCTGGTTTATTTAGACAAGCAGTATTTTATTCCTTGTTTACTGAAATCTTTCTTTATTTTCTGATAAATCTTACACGGGTATGTAGCAAAGTGACCAGGGTAAGAACAGTTTTAAGTCCATCACAGCTCAGATGTTTCTGTGCATCTGTGAAGTGTTTCACAAAGTTCAGTTCCTTGGACAGGAGTTGTTCTCTGTTGAAACATTAATCCCAGTTTATTTTTTCAGACCAGTCAGTAGGACTCCTATACACCATGCAATAATATTTTTTTTCTTAAGCTACGTGTTGATAGACTTAGCTCCCTGATGTAAAAGCCGTGCTTGAACAGTGAGGGAAGGTGAACAGCATGATTGCTCTGATGATTTAGCTTGCTGGCTTTTATATGGAACGAGAGGAAAGCTGGTCGGGTGTCAGCAGTCATTACATTTTGTCTGTGATGTGCTTTCCCAGCACATTGGCACATGTGAGGCTGCCTTCTAACTACTAAAACAGACTTTTCCAAGGAACAAATTATCTATCAGGAGTGTAGTAACCCTGTGCAGACAACCACAGCTGTAGCCTTCAGTGGCTTCAGTGGGATCATGTGTCCTGGCCAGAATATAGATATGAAGGCCATTTAAGCTGTGGTAGCATTATTCATCGTGAAAAGCTTGGCCAAATAACAAAAATACCTCTGGTTTTGTTGCTAGACAATTTTAAGAGGATTTTTATTGCAATGAATTAGTCTTGCATGGTTACAGAACTGCAGTACATAGTTTCAGCATTTCTATGGATTTGATTCTGTGAATTTAGTGACACGGTCGCGTGGGTTAGGGATGTAGGGCTGGGTGCTGTGCTGAAATGGCTGATGAAAGAGGAACACTTCTGCTTCAGTCTAACAAACCTACAGCCAAGAATGAAGCCCTGGTATTACACTGGTAATATTTAAAGGGAGGCAACACAAAATTTAATCCTTCTTACAAATACATTTTCATTTATATATATAATTTTTAATGTATCATTTCTAAAGTAAATTTGACCAGCAGCAATTACGTTGAATTTAGAAATGAACATGAAACATGGTACCTGTGCATTTGCATATTTAGTTATTGAAATACTTGTTCATCTTTTTTCTGGCCTCTAACAATCATTATGTAGCTGTGCTGCTGTTTGTTACTATGCCCATAGGCCGATGCTGTGGTGGTAATAGGATACATCCAGAGAGAGAGGCTCTGCCATCTAGGTCAGCTGGTTCTTTTTCCTTTGAGACAAGATAGTAGCTCTTCGTAGCAAATGAAGCCTCTCTAATCTTCAACCATTGTCCATTTACACATGAGTAAATAGGTTAAACTGTTCATAAAACGATAGAATCATACCAAAGAGTAATACAGAGTGGCAGCAGCAAAACTGAAAAGCAGTCCCTTATATTCTGCTCTGGCTAGTACCTGCCACCACACTGAAGACAGAGTACGGTATTGGATAACGATCAGGTTAATGGATATGGGGAAATAGGGTAATTCAGAGAAGAGCCTTGCCTTCATTCCTCCTGCCAGGGGACCTGAGTGCTCTCGCAATGGCCCTCCAGAGCTCAGCCCAGCAATTGGCCAGGTTCCTGCAGGTGAGGGGTGACCAGCACAGCACAGGACCCTGCCCAAACAGCTAAGTGACCTGATTGCGTGACATACGTCTGATGCACCATGATTGCATCTCTGCGTAAAGGAGCAGTGAGTTTCATTACATTAGCAGTTTTTCTGCCTACTTATTTGCACTCCAGAAGTACGATATCTTTAATCCTCCAGTCTTCAGTGCTACAGCCCATTTGCTCCTCCTCAGCTGAGCAGGTCTGCTCGTGATGGCCACTGGCTGAGCACTGGGACTGCCCTGCCCCTGGGACTGCCTGCCAGCACTGAGAAAAGGCTTCTGGGATGAGAGGCAACAAGTGTTCTCTGATGGCAACATGTTTTAGAGGATGTTTGCACCCAAAACAAAATGTTATCTGTCTAGAATATAAATAAGCATGAGCAGGTAACAGTACTGCTCTGTCAACCAGGAATGAGTAACTGAGCTAGGCAATTTCCCAAGCCCATCATAGTTCCTTACACTCTAGAAAGCTGCTATGATCCCGTAATAATCACTGGATGTTAGCTTTCCATTCGGGTAGTTTGTCCAATATAATTCAGCCAGGACTTGTGGCTCATCCTTACAATAATAGGTCACCATATGTTTCACATCTGGTCCTCCAGAAAAGCCATATTGCACACGATACCAACTATTTTAGGGTACAGTCTCCAGAGATCCTTAAGTGTGACTAGCAGTCTTGACAGTTTATCAGTTGCATTAATCAGCATTAAAACCTCATTTTACTATTAACAAGCATAATTAGTACTAGTCCGAATGACAACTAAAATAAGCAACTTCACTAGTTTTGTTTTTAGCAAGCTGTTAAAGCTGGTTTGGTTTTGTTTTTGTTTTTTCCAAAATGAAGGCACCTAAAACGCTAAGTCCACCAAAGTCCACATTTTGCCACCAAAACTCATTTGCCCAGATTAACCTAAGTTCTCCAGTGATGATGGAGCAGAATTGTGTTTAGTCAGACAACAAAGTTAAGATTGTGGACTTCTTCATGTTTGTGTCTCTCAGAAATCAGATATCTGTAGTTTGCCATAGGAGAGGGGGCTGTGTTAGAGTTGTCTGCAATATCTGAATATTCACTGTTAGCTGAAGGCTTCAGTCTGCAGTCAGGATCTAACTAGCTTTTATGTGGGAGAGAAAAGGCAAAAATAATGCCATTTATAGACAACAGTATGCAGAGAAAATGTCTTCTCTTGCCCCACACACCACATCCTGGGACCTGCTGGTATTTATAGCTTGAAACACTTCATTTTCTGTAGGTTTCCTGTAGAGGATTGAAACTTGATACAAATTCTTTATGTGAAAAGTATTTCACATGAAGTTTTCCTGTGAGAATAAAACACAGGAGCCTCCATTACTCACTGACTGCCTTGCACAGTTTTGTGCACATCTTTTGTTCTTAGCCTGTGTCCTAACAGCCTTTTCTCAACATACCATCCCCTAAGATATTAATAAGAGGAGAGTATGCAGAGTGCAGACGTACTTTCTAACTTTCAGTAGTCTGTGAGACTGCTCTCTGCAAGAAGTCAGCCAGGCAAGCTGTGAAAAATCTTTACAAAGAGCCAGAATGCAATAATTTGGTTCTCTTCTCCATTACTCACCAAGTGAAAATTCTCCTTGTGCTCCACACAGTGCAGTCTGGCAGCTTTTTAACATCACCAGGTTGGGGGATGCTGTTGGAAGGACTCCCCTGTGTGCCACTGCTGAATGGGCAGGCACAGCAGGCCGCGTGCTCTTCAAGTAAAATGCTTTCTTCTTCCCTATTTAAAGAAGAGTTTCTTTCCATCACGTTTAGCGAACATTTGGGATTTCTGGACCCCAGGTGGAATGTAACAGGAAGGTATACGTGCTGCCTTAAAACCTTGGGGGGATAAGGGCTAATTTCCAGGTGGCTCATTATAACAGGAAATTGTCTAAAAGTGTTGTGAAATTCTGGACATGCCTTTGCTCTGCATATGCCCTTCTTCCAAGAGCAAAGAATTCCTTCAGTACTTAGAGTCAAAATTTCCCCTTTTCTTTTTGATGGGCAGAAAGCTGTTTGATCCTCCCAGCACGAGGTGTGCTGGGTGAGTATGGGTTTGGTGGGCAGCTTTGGGCACTTTGCATCACAGCGGATGACACAGACTACTTCCTTTGTAGCCACTGCTGTGTCATATCTACAGAGGGAGGAAAGGCATTTATTCCAATAGCTGCAGTAAGACTGGATTTATTCCCTATCTCAGCTTCAGATAAATACTGGGGTACGCAGTGTGTGTCCTGAGCCAGAGCCACACTGTGATGTTGCTTTCCAGGCCACTGCTGTCGGTGCAGGCTGGCTCCCTGTCAGGCTGGGAGTGGAGCAGGAGGCAGTGGAAGTGGTTTGAAAGCTGTCACTTCTGCGAGCACCCAGAGCTGTGATGCTAATCAAGAACAACATGGGAGATGGACGGGGCTCTTTACATGAGCAGGGCTCCAGGGTTGAAATTTATTTTAAGCTTGTGCTTATTTTTAGAACGTTTCTTGCTGTTGTTTTCAAACCTATGCTAAAACAATTACTGTTGCTGAGGGTCACCAGGAGTTCAGCCGTGCTGAAAACCTCCCAGCACCGCTCCGAGGGCCTGCATGGCCAGGCAGGGCAGCCCTCACAGACACCGTCGCTTAAAGAAACAGCAGCTTCTGGCTTCCCTCTTCCTAGATGTGAATGAAAAGCATCTTTGAGCCCTTTTAGCTAATGTCGTCAAGGCACATTGCCAAAATCCAGTTCCAGGTACCCCAGCACCAGCCCTGCTGTGCCCTTGCATGACCTGGCTGCTCCGTTCTTGGCCGGGGGGAGGGACGGTCAGGTGTCAAACTGGCTGCTGTTTCCTTCCAGTGCAGCCCACGAGACAGGCTCTCCCATAAAGCAAGATAGCGAGAAGCTAAAGCCATAACAAGAACAAAACTCAAGTCTTCCAAGGGAGCCACTCAAACACGTTCCCCCCATGCTCAGCTGTGGGCCGCAAACCACTGCATTTCTGTCTGGCAAGACTGTGTGCAAAGAGACGGACTGCTGTCTGCACACCACTTGGTTTAATTCTCCCATTTCCTAACTGATACACAAAATCATTTCTTAAGTAACATC